AAAAAATAATATGAATTGTGATTATAGGAATTTAACACACACATATATATAGTTAAAATATAAATAAAAAAAGAAAATAAAATAATCCATTATCATAATATTAATTGTTTTGGCAATCGAAAAAGAAAGAAAATAATATATTCTTGTATATATATATATATATATATATATATATATATATATATATTTTGGCAATCTAGAATGTTATTTGATATAAGGGATAAAACGGAAGAGAATAAAAGTATAAAGGGTTATTTTGTTTTAAAAATTTATATTTTTAATTTTCATAAAGATAGGAGACATCTCATAAATGAACTTGTAATTATAGGGATTGTGACCAATAAGAAGCGGCAATCACAAGGCCTGTAACTTCTGAGAGATTTCAACCGAAGTTAATTAGAGGTAGACTTGGATTCAAGTCTATGAACCCGAATCTTAATTCTAATATTATTTATATATATTTTTTTATTTTAGATACATTATATATATAATATTCAAATTATACTCACATTTCTCTTTTCAACTTCATCTATTTAAATCTTAATATTTGAATAATTAATTTTTATATTTTATATATAATTTATTAAAAATTACAATAAGTTTTTACAACTTTGTGTGCTTAGGAATAATACCACACTCCAAAAGAACAGTGTTTTTATCACTTTTGGTTTATTTAGTAGAAATGATGATATAATTTTTCTATCTGATTGTTTGATAAAATTAAAAATTAGGTACTAAATATTTGAAGGATTGAATTTTAGAGCATTTTTAGTATGTTAAAATATTTTTTTGTGTAAAATATACACCATCATTTATGATGCGTTAAGATACATTGTCAAACACTGTCATGTTATTAATATATAAAATTATTGTGTATTTTACATAGCCATAACAACACATTTCCTTTCTCCTCCCTCTTTTTCATTCCATTAACGAATCAACCCTATATTAAATAGTAAAAGTCATGACATTAATTGTTATTAGAGATATATTTTTTTACACAAAAGATATAAAATAATTGTTGGAGATAAAAATAAATAATTTTTTTTTTTTTTTTTTGTAATATCATCACATATGAGATTTATACAAAAAATACACACACGTGCGTGTATTAATCCTCTTACTTACCGAAAGAAAAAAGAAAAATAAATAATAAATAAAATTTGGAATCTCCTGTTTATTAAAAATTTTAAATAATATTCAAATTGCATTCACAAACTTTTAATCACGATGATATATTGATATCGTAGAACATAGTTTGCAACTAAAATTGAAGCTACTCCCCCCATAAGGGATTAAGGAGAGTCTGATGGGACTGATGCATTCAGTCGGGATCCACCTAAAAAGATGGTTCACTAGGGGGATGTGCCTTGTCTATTTGTGATTAAATTGATAATAAAGACAGAATCATATTGAAAAACTAAAGTAAAATAACCAGGTCGAGGGATAGAGATGGCAACGGAGTGGGTTCGGAGCGAGTTTTTCTAAATCCCATCCCATTCTTTTTAATTTTTGTCAAGTCCATGTCTGCCCCAAGACCCTTAATGGGTTGGATTTTCATGTCCAGCCCCGCCCCGTTGGGAAATATTGTGCCCTGCAAACAAATTTTTTTCTCCCACTTTTTGAAACTTAAACGTCTGCTATTTGAATGTGGAAAGCCTGAAAATGACACAATATAAATGAAATTATGTATCCTAACAAAAAATAATAATAATAACATACACATAACATAATAGAATATAATAAATAAAAATAAAAGTTTAATACAACCAAATCACAAGAAGTTCTAAACTCTAACTTCTACCATAATCAAAACAAAAGTAAATTTAATACCAAGTTTACGTATATGTATATGTATGAATATATATATATATATATATATATATATATATATATAATATAGTTATATGCTTAGCGGGGCGGGGCCCCTAGGATATGTATATTGAACCCCTACCCGTCCCCGTGATCCGCGATGGGTACAAAATTTGTATCTATGCCGGCCCTAACGGTATAAAAAGTGTTTCCATATCTGTTATTAACGAGGCGGGACAGGGCAGGGCCCCGGCAGGGCGGTAAAAATTGACATCCCTACCGAGGAACCCCAATTTTCTGACAAATTATGTCTGGGGAACTTGGTGAAAATTAACTTCCAAAAAAAAAAAGTGGCGAAATTTATAGTCACCAAAAAAACAAAGAAAAAAAGAAAAAGGAACAGATTATGATACTGCAGATGAAAATTTGCGACTAAACCAAGCCGACTTTTTAGTACTACGCCCCAATACAAGGTAAGTTTGAAAAGAAAGCAGAAGTTTACGATGCATTCAAGTGAGATCATAAATAAAATTACAGTAATATGGATTAGTATAAAAACGGCTAGTCATGTGCAAAGGACTCCGAACGTTACAGAATTTGAAGCATGTCAAATGTATGCATGCATACTTTGTAGGCCGCTCTGCCGGTGGGTGCAGAACAAAGGATAACATTGGGTAAGCCAAAGTCAAATGAAATTTTTTATAAAGGTATGTCTTGATTACCAAATTGTCCTTTCTCTCCCTTCATCTACCCCTCTTTTTGTCTCCCTTTTGGAAAAACAATTACACAAGGTGAAGGTTACGTAGTTTTTCAAAATTCCTCCTATCTACGACATATTGTTCTTTTTCGCGCTGCCCCACTCTCCTCTTGCTTTACTCTTCTTTCCCACAACGTGATATATATATATATATATACACACACACATACATGTTTATATTATAGAAAGCAAGTCACCAATGTGGTGGTATTCATGAAGGAAAAAGTTCCAGTAAAAAAATTTAGTTTCCAAATTGAAGGCGCGCTTTGTTTCTTTCATCAGCCAATTGGCAATGTAGGAAGTGGACGAATTTTTTTAAACCATCATCGTGGTTGGAAATATGAAAAGTTGCAGCTCTAAATGGCCTTTCTTTTTGTATATTTTTTATTTCTTAATTCCAATAGTTTTGTATTACAAAGGATTCTGGAAATGGCGTGGTGCTTTTGGTATATATATATCTTGATAAAATTATGGGTAATTTGAGAATAAAATGATAATGTACAATAAATTTTTATGTTTTGATCAAACTTTGATAAAAACTCCATCATTTTGGAAAGAGTTACATGGACTTTATCATTTTGACGTAAGAACTTCATAATTCCATTTTCTAGGAATTATCCCATGACAGTCATTTTGATCGAGCTCAATAATTCCATTTTCTAGGAATTATCCCATGACTACTACTGATGATTTGATAACAAAGCAAGCCTTTCCATATATATAGGGATTTAGATTTATTGGATAGACGGGTTAGAAGATTCAAATTTGTTGAAAATTCATGACTTTTGACTCCACCTTCCCTGTTTAGTAATTACTTTTCTATAACACAAATATAGCATATACGATCCAGTTCATGGTTAAATCAGAAGTTGTTTAAAACCTGTCGATGGTCTCATCCATAATGGTCCAACAACGTAGTTTTCAACTTAGACATTTCAGTCTTTGACTGTTCAAGTTTTGGCTAGAACTTACACAATCCAGTATAGACTTGGTCTCATCTATAATTGCCGAACTTCAGAGTTATATACGAGACATTTTCAATATCTGACAGTTCAAAGTTTTGACAAGAACTTTAATCTTTACACAACCCAAGGGTGCAACTCTACGTGTTGGGCGGGTTAGAAGCTCAACTCAAACTCAATCCAAGGCAGTGGTGGAGTCTGAAATTTAGTTCAGTGGAAGCAACCATTGACAATGATATGATAAGAAATTTTGAACCAAAATAATAAATAGCAACAAAGGAGTTTTTCTGAATTTTGATTCTTTAAATTTAGCGGGCCACACGATAGGAGAAAAGATACAGGTCTTTTTTGAATTTTGAAATTTTTGTTGGGCAAATGAATTAAAAAATGAGAGGTTTTTTGAAATTTGGAAGTTTTCTTAGGTTTTTTTTGTGAATTTTTTAGGAGCTCAACAGGGCAACTTTTGTAATTATCAAGATTCGTGTATAGAAAATACAAATACCAAAAATTCAATAACAAAAGAGGAGTTTTTTTTTCCCTGAATTTTGATTCTTAAACATGTTATATATATATATATATATATATATATATATATATATCTTGTTGGACAAATGAGTTAGAAAAATGAGAGATTATTTTGACTTTTGGAAGTTTTTGTAAGATCTTTTATAAATATTTAAAAGTTCATGAGAGCACTTTTATAATTATCAAAACTTATATGCAAAAAATACAACTAAAAGGAAATTCCAGCGGAGCAATTGCCCCCATTGGTCCTAATGTGGCTCGGCCACTTATTCGACGTATGAAATCTTTAACTCTAATTCAACCTAATCTAATGATCAACTCAAGTTAATTAATCTGAGCTTTTTTCATTCTTAATTTTTTAAGCTTGGATTTAATTCGAATTTGTATTTGGGGCTAAAATTTGAGTTGAATTCGACTTCCAACTCAAGTTGCTATTTCAAGTTAGATTTCATATTTATGCAATAACAAATGAAATAATCATAATAGAGTTAATAACTTGACTAATATCTTCAAAAGATATGATTCAAGTGTATGTATATATATATTACAATCAAGTGATAAATGATCAATCACATGCATCCAACACATACATATGGAGTTCATTATTCGGGATTATAAATTAGGTTCATCAGATTTAAAAATTGAGGGCGGGCTCCGGGCTTCAAGTTGCTCAACACAGTAACTAGAGCGTGGCCCAAAATTAATTCAAGTTGTTATTTTTCAAGCCCAAACCAAATTGCAATTTGTACAGTCCAAGCTCGAAAATTTTTAGTCTGGGCTTGAATTGGGCCCACCCGAGTTGCACCCCTACCAACCACCACAATAGAATAATTTGTTTTGCAATTTTAGGTCCAATAGATTTAAATCCACAATACAACACTAACTCAACAACTTTAAATCAATAACATAACAATTACGAAATTTTAATTTAGTGGTGTTAGAAATTTATTTATAATACGATGTAACATGCTGCATGAGTTTTCATTGCAAAAAGACCACACTACAAGATTCTAAATCCTATATACTATGGATTATAGTTATTTAATATTTCATTAAATTAACGAGACCACACTCCAAGTCTGATACCAATATCAAATTACAGAACACATACACTAGATCAAATGCGCCAAACACCTTAGAAGCAGCAGCACTTCTCCAACACGCAGCAGCAACAAAAAAAATCCAAACTGCAAAAGGCAAAAGTTCCGTCAGACAAAACAATAACAAGTGAGGGTGGTCAAGGAATTTGATTTTAATGCAGTAGTAAAAGTTTTCTTGTACTCCGCGAGACTCCCTCTCATAATCGGTGTTCGGTCTACCCCGTGGGTAATGTTGTGTGTTTTATACTTTTATTAGAATCCCACAGAAATATAGCTCTCAATCTCTTCACAATCATGAAAAAGTTGATTTCTTTCAAACAGAGAAGCAATGAACGATTAACACAAGCTATAGATACAAGTAGCAATGCTTGATCTCAACTATACTGTCAGCCCCTTCGTTTCACATGTATATTATGCATTAAAAATCAATTTTTTCAATTTTTTATTTTGTTTTATTTTTAGATCGAAATAATTCAGCTTTGGTTATCAACCAAACCATGATGAGCTCCTTCGTATAGTAATCCTGTAGAGAGATCATAGTTGTATATAACCCTATATTGGATCTAATAAATTGAGATGAGCTATGGTTATAAGAGCAAAAGTAGAACCCTGGATTGAATTATACATCCCAAACTCCCATACAATTTAATAGCTATTAACAATACAATATGCAAAATCGAAAGATAATTATATCCGTTCAGACTAATAGCAATGTGAATTTAGTTTGGGGTTTCAATTAATATTTCAAATGTTGCATTTGGAAGTATTGAATAGGCGTAAATTTCCTCCAATTTTAAATCCAAGCCATTAATTAGGTGCTCCCAAACATAGTAAAACAACTTGTGACAAATTAATTTCAAATTACGAGTCCCCAAATCCAGAAAAGAAAAAAAAAAACAAAAAAAAAAAAAAACCTTTATTTTCTCTACTAGCTTCCAAACTTAATTGACATAGGGATTGAAAATTAAGATTCAAAACCACTAAGACAAAGATAGACCAATCCCAAATCAAAAAAATAATCCAAGACGGTTACCAAATCATCATGATAATTAGATTAGAATAATACTTAACCTAATTAAAATTACCACTTACCTGCTGATATGACCCAATAAAATTGCTCAGCAGGTTGGATGGAAGTTCATTCCAACAAGTTTTGTTCATTAGGTTATTACCATCATATGAAAAGAAAACTACCAAAAATAGAAATTACTAACAGACATAAAAATAAAAATAAAAAATTGATAGTCAGTATCATAAAAACCCCAACTGACCATGGAAGAAACAAGTAGAGCCCAAAAAAAAGATGAAAAAGAAATGACATACCAGGCTCTGAGGAAGGAAGAAGAACACATAGTTACATCTTGGTAGTAGTGGTCGTATTGTTGAGATGGTGAAGGGAACCCCTCGCAAAAGTAGCTTTGATACCCAAGTAGAGGGGAAGGAACGCACTCTTCAAACCCTGAAATGAAAAGCATATATTATATTATGTTCACTAATAAATGAATTTAATTAATTAGATCGAATACATACATACACAACATCAAATTGTATATATATAGTTTGTGATAATTGTTGAAGATTAATTGGTAATCAAGTTATTGGCTTGCCTGGTGGAGGGACATGCTGATAACTCATTCCTTCTGGGTGTTATTGATGTACTTTGTAATGGAACTTAGCATAACAAAAGAGGAGGACCTCCTGCTGTGTTTGTTGAGTTAGAGAGAGAGAGAGAGAGAGAATGTGTTTGTTGAGTTAGAGAGAGAAAGAGAGAAACTTAAGTGAGTTAAGAAGTCCAGCAACCTTTTGCGTGTCGCTGCATCTACTAAATAAAAGGCATATGGCCAAGAAACGCAGGGTCACTCAGATAACATGTTTTCATGTATTTATGTGTGTATGTCATCAGAGGACTCTTTTGGCTACATATGCTTTATTCACTAAGATATGGAAACCATTTAAGGTGATAACACTGGACAACACGCCAACACTCTCTGACATGACCTTACTGCTGAACACCACCGGTGACTTGAGTTATATTTGTGTCTATTCGATTGACATGTTAATTACATGTATCCCATCAATTTATTTATAGTTTGACTAATCCAATTTATGTAAGTTAGTCCGGTATGGAATGACCTGTTTAACTCGAGGAACTTATTATGTTTGCGTTAAAAAAATTTGATTCGATAAGAAATTGACATGTGCCTAAATAAATTATATAGTATTACTCTCTTTGTCCTAAAAAAGATGTCATATTTTTCAAAAAGACAGGGTATGTCCCATATATTTCTTTAAAAAATTTTACTCCCCACGACATTTAAATTGGGACAGAGGGAGTAAAAAATTTAAAAATAAAAGAAAATCCTAATCACAACCACTCCCCACCCTCAACGACCACCGCCAATCTGCCACACGCCACTCTCCACGCCCACTCCATCTCTCTCTCCCCCTGCAGACTATCACCTCTCTTCTTCTTCCTATATTGTAATTTATGCAGCGCCTTTCTCCTTCTTACTATATTGTAATTTATGCATGGTTCACCGTATCAGTCGGCTCGTAATCCTTTTTTAATTATTCGATACCGTTATATACTTTTATGAACCGATTTATACGATATTCATCCGAGCCCGTTACACCGCTCCTGTGATCCATGAGTTTATATTACATGTATATGTATATTTCTGTATCAAGTATGACGAGAGGCTCTTGTTTGCATATATATTTCTGTTGCATCAAATATATGTACTGTATTGTAAATTATAATACATATACATATCTGTATACATATTTTTGTAGCATCAAATTCGACCAGTCTCTCCACCAAAAAGCCTTTGCTTTGGGCCAAATCAGGTACCATACATATATATATATATATATGGAGAGATTGAAATGGAAATCATAGAAAACGAAATTGTTTGAAAATTTATTATCTTCAGTAGATTTGGAGCTTGACTTCTGCGTTTGAGTACCAGAATGAAAACTAGGGTTTGAGCTGTAGGCAATTAGTTGATAATTTTGTATATATAATATGGGTTTGGGTACTTTGATATATGTAACATGGGTTTTAACCGATTGACCCTTCAGAACCAATCTTATTAAGTAATTAATTTAGTATAGGTGTCTCTTCACCTAAGAGGATGAAATTTGTCCATCTAGGATAGGACAGGACCCAAGAGATGAAGGCTCCTTGAGACCTAAAATATTTTTTATTTGTTGGTATACGGTTGTCATAAAATATTCAAAGAAAAAAAAATATTAAAATTTAACAAAAATAATTTATTCATTAATTTTCGACAAGTTATTTTCCATATTTTATCCTTCATACTTCATATTTTATCCTCCGATAAAATTGACCTTGACGTAAACCTTTGCCAAACACCAACAGAAGTAAAAAGTAAAAAAATATTTTACTTGAAAAAAAATATATTTTTCAAAAAAAATATTTTAATCCAAACGGAGCCCAAATGTAAAATTTTATAGAAAGGCGGAATTATATTCAGTTAGACGTCTTGTTGCCATCACTAGATGTGACTGTATGAGATGGGGAAGAGAAAACCCGTGCAGGTGCGGGACAAGGCACCACAAAGGTATGGGGCCTTGTTGCCATCGCTAGGTATGACTGTACGAGAGGGAAGAGAAAACCCGTGCAGGTGCGGGACAAGGCACCACATGGCAACACAATAGGTATGGGGTGGGGAAGCCGTGCAGATGCGAGCCGGTAACAATGGCAACACAATAGGTATGGGGTGGGGAAGAGAAAATCTGTGCGGTGCAGAACATGGCGAAACAACAAATGCATGCAGATACACACAAATCAATTATGGTTTTTTCTTCCTTCAAAGTTCAGCCACCAGATAACCAGGACAAGGATTTTTCGTCTTGAATCTTCAATGAAAGATTCTAAATCCTATAGTAGTACAGATTATAATTATTATGCTCCACTCCATTTTTGTTTCTTCCTCACATATGTTGTGCACAAAAACATTTACAGCACTGGAATACATGTATTATAATTTATAATATATGCTATTGCTTACCAATTCAAAGGGATTGTGATGGGTTAGATGAAAGTTAGAATGTGACCAATGCCAGCTTTGTCACAAATGTTCCATCAACAGATCATCAGACTACAAAGCAGATCAAGTCCCCAACATAATATTGGTTAGATCAAAATATCAGTAAGAAAAATTATAAATTCCAAAACATATTAAATCCACCATATATGGATACAAATATTTAAATTTAATATTTCATTAAATTACAATGAGACCAGACTCCAAGGATACTTTAACAATTCAGACACTGATACCAATAGCAAATTACAGAATACCACATACACTTGATCAAATGTATCGCACACATCTAGAAGCAGCAGCAGCACTGCTCCAACAGACAGCAGCAACAAAGAGCGGCCATACTGCAAAAGTTCCATCAAGCAAAACAATATCGAGTGAGGGTCTAAGAATAATAAGGTTCCGTTTGATTCTGATGCAGTAATATTAGATGGGACATGCATCTATCTGAGTATTTTTCACAAACCAATATATCGTAGCACCCTACATTTGACAGATGAATGTCCAACCTAAGTTTGGAGATGGCATTCAACATGCCATAAAGACCTGCTTCGGTTAAAGTTGCAGAAATTTTTTATTGAAGAAAATTAATTTCACATGTGGAGACAATCCAACTCTTTTGTAGCACCAAGCATGGTGATGCAATTGAAGTCACTGCATTTAATCATTTACACAATCTGCAAACATGGCTCGATAGGGAATGAATCATGGCAGAGAAATACCAATTTTTGTCCCCCACCAAAAACATATATATATATATATATATATCTGACAGAGAAAAACCACTTATCTTAGGAATTTTTTAATACGTTCACAGACATTTAAGTAGAAATTAAGCAAAGAAAATATATATATATATAAAAACCATTCTATATTGCTCTCCAATTGCATGCCTTGACTAACGTGAATCCTAGTTTTTTAAATCTGAATGTCTTATACAATCTGTATATTGAGGATTGTATATTCCATCCTCAGAAGATTGCTACAATGGGAAAAATGTGAGGAGGTCCAACTTCCATGAATCAAACATATTGAGTAAGGTTGCAAATTCTGATACAATTAATTAATACAACTCAAACCAACACAAAATTAGTGGATTGACCTTAATCCTGTTTGTGTTACAATGTTGCCAATCGGATTAACCCACTAAAAAGAACAGGTCGCATTTGAGTTTGAGACTCAACCCGTTTTAACGGTTAATATACATGTGACCAGTTTCAACCAGAGTAATAGATATTATTTTTAGATTAATACGGATATATTGTCAATTCACGGTTATAGTGAAAGGTCTATCAATTCCACAAATTTTCATTAATATTTTAATTATTTTGATCATTTGATGATGTTTTAATTTCTTTAATTTAAAGAAATCTTAAACAAGTTATTAAACAGGTTGTGTCGTGTTATAGGTTGCACGAGCCCTTTATTAAACAAGTCGTACTAATAAACAAATTGTATTCAAGCCAACGTTTTAGAAATGAATTAAAAAATGAGTCGTGTTCGAGTTGACACATATAGCATAAAGTGACTCACACAAACCCAACCCACTAACACGAAATGTAAACCAGACTCACCTTAATGGAAGTGCAGGAAAAAAAAAAAAAAAAAAGGGTTTTTATTGGCTAAAAGATAACAAGCTTTGAGCAAAGATGACTATATGAATTGAATTGGTAATGATTAAAGGAGATGAAGACCTTATTCAAAATAAATAACAGAAAAATATACCACAATTTTGGTTTCAGATTTCCTCAAACCAGAGAAAGTACAAAGAAATTGAAGACAGAAAAAGGGTAATAACTCTGATTGAATTTTATATCCCAAATCCCATACAATTCCAGAGTCATTAACAATAAAATACTCAAAATTGAAATATTATTATATCAGGAGTTCAGACTTCAGTGTCATAGCAATGTTAATTCAGCTTTGGATTTTCAAACAGTTGGTGACAAATACACTCCAAATTAAGAGTCCCCAAATTAAAAAATATATATATATTCCTTTCCCTAACCTTAACCTAGGGCTTGGGAATTAAGACCCAAAGACATACTAGTCCCAAATTAAAAAATTGATCCAACCCAGTTACCAAATCATCATGATAATTAGGTTATTATCATATCATATACAGTAATATCCATCAAAAGGAAACTACCAAAAATAGAAATTACTAACAGGGGAAAAAAAATAGGGAGATAAAAGAGATGACATACCAGCCTCTCAGGAAGGAAGAACAGCCAGTTTCATCTCGGTAGAACTCGTATTGCTGGTGGTGTGTGTGTTGGGGCGGTGAAGGGTACCCATCGTTGAAGTAACCTTGATACCCGGGTGGAGGAGGGGGAGGGTACCCTTCATATGGCCGTGGCGGAGGTGGCGGCGGTTCTGACGGATACCCCGGTGGTGGAGGTACTGCAGATGGGTATCCTCCTCCTCCTGGCGGTGGTGCATACCCTGAAATGAAAAGCATAGATTATTCACCAAATCAATTTAATTAATTAATTAAAATGCACAAATATACAAAAGATGAGTTATTGGCTTTGCCTGGTGGAGGGTAAGACTCGTGATGAACATGTTGATAGCTCATTGCTTTGCTCTCTAGGCTAGTCTAGTCTGAAATGGAACTTCGATCCTTCAAAAGATGAGTGATTTTGACATTAATTTGCAGTTATAGGAATTAAAATTGGACCTTAGCATGACAACAGAGGAGGAAAGTTCATAGTTCCATACCTGCTGGGTGCTGTGTTAATGAGAGAGAGAGAGAGAACGTAACTGTTAAGTCCCACCAACCCTTTGCGTGTCGCGGCATAAATAAAGGCATTGCCGACAAAACGCACCCTCACACTCTCCACGTGTCAGATTACATATGTCTTCATAGACTTCATGTTGTATATCCCGTCTAGATACCTGGATAAGACGAGTCGGTGACTCTTGATAATATTTAAGAATAAAATGAATTAAAAAATAGAGTGGGAGTAGAATGATTATTCTCATTTTTATGTTTGATTGTAAAGAAAAATATTATATTTTTATAAAATATATTTATATATATGTGTGTGTAGTCGATGTTTCATCAAATATTTTTTTATTTATTTATTTATTATTATTTTTTTTAAAATGAGAATGGAATGTTCATTCTAATTGAAAAGTGAAATAAATTAATAAGAATCACTATTCTTGGAGAATGGGCAAGAATCATCATTTCAACTTTAAAGTTACTTACCAAATTAAATAATAAAAACAAAAGCATTTCATTCCCACTTTATTTGATTCCATTCACTCACACCAAACATAGCCCATCACTATTCATACATGAGATAAGATAGTATTTAGGTTTGTCTTAATCATATTCATATTGATTTCAATTGACATATTTTATATTTTTTGATCCATTAATTCATTTTATATCTCGTTTAGATCAATTTAATTAAATGTAACATGATTGTTATAAAAATGTGCTTGTAAACTTATCATATTCAGGTTAGAAATGATTTCTTTAATGATTAATTAAATGTATATTTAAGAGTGACAAACCCAAGTCCGCTATGTTTGGGACGGTTGGGCTAGTTTGGTATGGTTAAATGAAATTAAGTAGGAATTGAATGAATCAGAGAATGGAATGGGAATGAAATGAGAATGGAATGACTATTCTCATTCCCATATTTGGTTGCACAGAAAAATATCTCATTTTTGTAAAACATATATATATATATATATATATATATATATATATATAGCCGACATGTCATTAAATGCTTTTTTTATTCATTTATTTATTATTATTATTTTTTAAGTGGGAATGGAATGGTCATTCATTCAGTTGGAGAGTGAAATAAATTAGTAGGAATCACCATTCTCGGAGAATGGGAAAGAATCATCATTCCAACTTTAAAGTAAGTTACCAAACTAAAGAACGGAAACAAAAACATTCCATTCCCACTTCATTTGATTCCATTCACTCACACCAAACATGGCAATGATTTTGAAGTGGGGAAGAGAAAAATGGGAATCACCATTCTCGGAGAATGGGAAAGAATCGTTATTCCAACTTTAAAGTAAGTTACCAAACTAAAGAATACAGACAAAAACATTCCATTCCCACTTCATTTGATTCCATTCACTCACGCTAAACATGGCAATGATTTTGAAGTGGGGAAGAGAAAATTCGTGCAATGCAGAGTCGGGCGAGTGCAAGGATGGACACACTTGCATTGTTTATATTCTATGATTATGATATTGTCCTTATATATTATTACTTGGACTATAGTATCATTCCATAAATTAAAACACCAAAACCAAATCATCTGTCATCACCATTCGTTTGTCTTTCTCCCTCCCATCACAGCGGCCACTCTCTCTCCGATCCCAACTTTTCTTTCTCATTGCAACTTCTCTCATCAACATCGATACAACTAATAGGGATGATAATTATCCGTGTTAAAATGGGATAGGAACGGATATGGGATTAGAACATGTAACCCAAATTGGGTTCGGGGATGGGGGATGAGATGCATTAAACCCATCCAGCCCAGCGCAATTAAGGTGGTCGGTCACCTAAGGCCCCCAATGGGAGAAGAGCTCCATATCTCATTATATTAATTATATATTCTTTTAGTGTAATATCCCTAATTTCAAAATGATAGTCCTGATATTTAATTTATTATTTAAATTGCAGTTGATTATTTCCTTGGTTTGATTTAATGGATTTATTATTTATTTTAATTTAATTGATTTAATGGATTTGTTACTTGTTTTAAATTAATTGATTTAATTGTTGTAATTGAATTTAATTGTTTAATTGGTTTGCTCTAGTTGTTTTATTGACTTAATTTACTTACATTTAATGGTTTAATGGTTTTAATTTACTTGTAAATTTAATGGTTTTAATTTAGTTGTTTAAAGTGAATTGTTTTAATTACAGTTAATTAGGTTTTCAATGTGACTGTATGGAAGGTGGCACATAGAGTTATATTAGGTTTTCAGTTCAGCCAACGTTGGAATATAACCTAGGTTGTTCTATGGGTCGAGTTGTACATGGATTAGGGTTAGTGTTAATATACACCTATAAATATAAAGCAATACACGGTTGAGGGTTTTTAGAAAAATAAACGTAAATTCTGTAAAAGCAGAGACTGTGAGATACAGAGGGAAAACAAAGAGAGATAGGAGAGGAAGGCTATGTGGGATCAAGGAGAAAGGAACGTGGTTTTGTGGAACTACAGTCTAGGATATTAACAGAATCTTCAGAGATGGTGAATTAGAGTTTCAAATCTGAAACTCAAAGGCAAGTCTCTGTTATTCTCTTTTTCATTAATTCGTGTTCTGTGCATGCCTAGTTAGACTCCAGGGATTAAATAAAGACTAAAACGGATTTAAACAAGCATGATAACAAGTCTTTTATGCATATATGAATTTTATTTGATCTCGTGGAATTAACTGGTTTGCATGAATTTGTGATAATCTGTTGTGGGTTTCTCTTGTTGTTCACATTTACGTTTTGTTTAATGGAGGTTAGTAATGCAAATGGATGCTTGGTAATTGATCTGGGTCTATGACTAAATCCTAGAACATGTTTTTAAAACAGTATTTAGAATTCATGGAATAAATCTGTTTTGAGTTGCTTTAAACTACTAACTAAATTTCTGAAAGCGTTGCTTTTAAACTTGTGTTCCATACATGTTTTTATTGGGTATCAGTGGTCTAAAAATTTATTTAGGACTAAGATTGAACCTAGAATAAGATTTAGAATACAGTACAGAGGGCTGGAAACTCACCAGAGTCGAAGAAGACAAAGGGAAAACGAACAACGGCTGCTAAGGGAGGGAGAGCAGGCTCCCAAAACCCTTAGAGCCGGTTCCCAAAGAGTTGGATCTGGCTCTAAGAGAATTAGAGCCGGCTCTAAGTGGTTTTGAGCAGGCTCTAAGTTTTTAAAGAGCCTGCTCTATCCTTATACGTTACAGAATTGATTTTAGGGGCTTGTTCAGGCTACACAGGGTGTTTGCACTTCGTTTAAATTGTTTTAAGTGATGTATGGGATTGTATAAGATTGGTATTCTGATGGAAAAATATAAAATCATAATTGGATTGAAGAATAGTGCAAGAAAAACTTAGGAGAAAACTGGTAGCTTGCACACTGTCTTGTTGGTTTTACTTACTGGAACTTGGCACGGTTTTTATATATAATCTAATTATATATAATCATATATTTTTCTAGTGTTATAGGTATGGTGAATTAATTAAAATCAACTATACTTAGTATGGATTTAATTGGTACTTCAATTGTACTAAATTGTATTAATTCATGGATCTTACTGGAGGATGTAAATGGTTGTATATGTTATAGCAGTTTACAACATTGGATATGATTTTAGGCCCTGTATTGAATGCCTAATATTTATGTATATGGATTAATTTATCTTGTGCATATTATGGTTGATGACTATTTAATACTGTATTGTCAACTATGTTAACCGGAGGATGGTATGTACCGGTTTGGGACGGTGACATACTAGGTATGGACTGGTTCAAAACACAAAGTTCTACCTAACTTGGATTAAGGTATGGTTTAATCATATGGGTTAAGTCCATCACCTACTTATGTCATGTCAATCAAATAATTGAATAACTTACTGTGGTTTCAAGATGGAGTTGTTATACATGTATCAGACCACTATACAGATGGATGATATTTTGTATTAGGAGTACGGACTTTATATATTTATTATATGGTGCCATGGTATGAGCTTGAGTCTCAGGACCATGGTTAGGGCGCGTATATCACCTAGGATAGATAGCTGGACAATAGTTGCTGTTCCCTGGTAGGTCTAGGTACACATGACCACGTAATGTGCGATTTGCATGGTATCTCTACTCAGGCTGAGACAGACCTATTGGACTAGTGAGCGTCCTATAGTGTGTAATATATACATATATGGACTCCTATAGATATTGTTGAGTCTATCTAGAATGTATCTGCGTATCGGATTCCTGTTTGGATTGTAGTAGATCAGGACTTGCATGTGGGCTTGACCCATTCTTATATTTTTCAGGTGCTCGTCAGTTCCAGGGTTAGAGCTTAGTCGTGTAAAGCAGATACAGACTTCTATTCCACCGACTATGTAGAATTGCTTACTTATTAGCTTTGGATCTTATTTCTGTTATTTCTTTTACAGTTGGGATTTTATTAGGGGTCCACTAGATGAATTCCCGAGTTGTTAATTGATTGGAGGTTTTGGAGTTTGGATTTTAATAATTATATTTTGGGGATTTTTCATTAGAATTCAATTCAGCTATTTTTATTATTTATTTCTAATTCTTTAAATTTTGTATTCTGTGTTCATTAAATTATTAATTGTTTGATATTTCCCTCGGGCTTAGGTCTGGGCCTGATCAACCCGTGTCTCGGATCCAAGGGGTATCACATTTAGTGAATTAATTATGATTCGTGTATTGTAATATTATCAAATTAATAAATACATCTACTCCTTTGTTCACCCCTTAGACTTTTTCAAAATTTTAAATTCTTGACAACCAATACTTGTTGAAAATGGTAAATTACATGGACCTTCTATATGGTTTGCCATAATTATAAGGACCTCCCCTATGGTTTTTGAAATTATACTAACATCCCCTAATAATGAAACATTATTACACAAACATCCCCCTCCTAGTGATGGACCATCAAATGGACTAACGGGCCTGTCTAATTTACTGAAATACCCTGAAATTACTCTAATAAATGACTAAACTACCCATATGTTCAGCTCACTATATATATATATATAGCTCTCACTTTACTATCTTAGACCTTCAATGTCGTGCCTTCTTCCATGGTCTAAACTT